CTTTAAAAAAAAAAAAAAAATGTAGGCTGGGGTCCTCCCCTCCGAACCCTGGAGTCCGTGGTTCTCATCCAAGGGCGATTTGGGGCCCCTCCTTCCCAGGGGCCATCCAGCTCCATATCTAGGGGTAATTCCGTGTGTCAACTGGGAGGGGTGCTGCTGGCATCCAGTGGAGGCCAGGGATGCCGCTAAACATCCCGTAGTGCACAGGACAGCCCCACAGCAAACACGGGTCCAGCCCACAGGTCAGTAGTGCCCAGGCGGAGAACCCCTGCTCTACAATCAGGGCCTGGGTGTCCGTACTTTCTAAACTTCCTGGCTTGTTCTAATGCGCCCCCAGAGCTAAGAGTGCCTCTCGGTCAGTGCACAACGATCACATGGATTCCTTATTACACTGAGCCCTTCCTTGGGTTCAGGAGGTCTGGGGTGGGGCCCATAGCCCTGCGTTTCTAACAAGCTCACGGTGACTCTTGGGGTTCCCGCTTGGGGTTCAGGACTGGAGAGGAGGCAAAAGAAAGTACCGGGAGCTGGGCTGGACTCTCGTCATCCTCTCTCTTTAAACTTCTGTTTAAAAAGAGTGTTTTCCTTCAGATAAGGAGAAGGGGTGGGAAATGCAAATGCGGCAGAGGGAGAAAAAGTTGGTTGGTCAAAACCGCAAGGCTTTGCAGGAGAAGCAGTCCGTTGTGTTCACAGCAATGCTCAGTGATTCACAGAGCAGCCCTCCGGGCCAGCTTCCCACCCAGCGCCGAGAGTCACGGCCACGGCCAGTCTCCGGCCCGGCTGGCTGCAAGCCCTTGGCTGGCTTGCCCAGGAGTGATGACTCAGGCTTTCCACCTGCAGAATGGGAGGGATGGCTCTAGCCCCCCATTCCTGGTGGGGGAGGGCACCCATTCCTGGGGCCCGAAGCCCCCAGCTGCCCCCCAGGCTCATCAGAGGCAGATCTTAAAAGTCGGGACCTGCTTTTCCAGGCGATACAACTGGTGTCTTCACTGCTCATAAATCTCCATTTGTGGCAGCTCAATTAGGAAGTCCTACAAAACTCCTATACTGAAAGAAGGGATTAATGACCCAGCCCATGTGGGAGAAATTAGCAGCTTCTGCAGAGAGGCCTTTTGAATGTATGCTCTGAACCGGCAGCCCCTGGGCTCAGCACTGGCTGGCTGGTCCCTGGGCTGAGCCAGGGATGGGGTGAAACCGACAGGGGATCATTGTGAGTCATTGGGTTGCACTTTCAAGGTGAAGTGTCTGGGAGCATCTGGCGGGTCCACCGTAGACTCCTGAAATGTTGCCAGTTGCACGGTTGCTCCTGAAGGAGCGGGTTTCGGGATGGAGGGAGGGGCGTGCTCGCCACCTGGAGGTCCAGGCCGGCCAGGAGGGAAGGGTTAGGTTTGGGCCCCCAGGCCTCATGCGGCTGCTGCCTGCCCCAGCTCCCGGATGGGGAGGTCCTCGGGCCCCTGGCACGGAAAGGGCTGGCCCTCCGCCCGGTTCTTGGGCTTGGGAGTAACGCCAGGAGCTCAGGCTGACTCATAAGGGGAGGGCCGGCCTCGTCAGCCCACGCTGCTAAGGCGAGGCCCGGGCAGATGAGTCCCTCTCGCTGACTGGGATGTGTTTCTCACCCTGTGCAGGGAAGGGGGCTGGAGAGGGTCTTCGTTCTTCCCTGCAGCCTGCGTTCCAGAACAATCAGTGGCCGGCTGCAGTGACTAAGGACTGGGGCCTCTGGAGCTGGACAAACCATCTTCTGAGGCCCAGACCTAAGTTTAACCACACACCCTGACCTGACTTCTCTTAGCTTTAGTTTTCTCCCCAGGCAAATGTGAATAATTTTAATACTTCCTTCCTCAGAAAGTTGCTGTGAGCATATATCATTGTGACTCAACACTCAGCATAGACCTGTTCTGTTTCTTCATCTTTCATTCATTATAGATACAGATGAGGATCTAGATATAGAGAGACTTCCGTGTACGTACATATTAAGATATATTGAGATATATCCATATCTGTGTCCATCCATCCATTCATCCATCCTTCCATTTGTCCCTCCATCCACCCATCCACCCATCCACCCACCCATCCACCCATCCACCCACCCATCCACCCATCCACCCACCCATCCACCCACCCATCCACCCATCCATCCATCCATCCATCCATCCATCCATCCATCCATCCACCCATCCACCCACCCATCCACCCATCCATCCATCCATCCATCCATCCATCCATCCATCCATCTGTCCATCCATCCATTCATCCTTCCATCTGTCCCTTTGTCCGTCCATCTATCCATCCATCCATCCATCCATCCATCCATCCATCCATCCATCCTTCTGTCCATTCATCCCTAGCACCTCCTACTAAATCCAAGAAGACACTGTTCCTGGCCTTGGGCTTACAGCAGTACAGAGCTCCATCCCGGGGCTTACATTCTAGTGTGGGGAGATTTGAAAGACAGGTGACCCAATAAAACAGGGTCATGCAAGATAAAGGGGAAGGGGGAGGGGAGAGACACAGACAGACGGGGTGTGTACTGCTGTTTTACCTTCAAGGTGGGAGGATGGAAGGGTAGGGTAAGGAAGCCTCTCTGAGGAGGGGGCACCTGAGGAGAAACCTGCAAGAAGTGAGGAAAGAAACCACGTAGATCATCAGGAAGAACTTTCCACAGAGGGTGGGACTAGAAAGTACAACTGTGCAAAAATAGGAGTTGGGGAGTGTGTTTGAGGGACATTGAGAACATTCTAGAAGCATGGCTAGAACACAGTGAGCAAGGAGGGGGATCCTAGAAAGTGAGGTCAGAGAGGTGATGGGGCAAGGTGATGTTGTTTTGAAGACTGAGTTCAGGATTGCCAGGGAACTGCCAAGCGACTATGTCTGAACTCTGCAGGAACCGGGTCCTAGTGTCAGCCTGCATGGTCCCTTCAAGCGTTTGCTAACATCGGGGCACAAGGAGAGAGTACTCTCTGGCAAAGGGGTGCTCTCATGAAAAAGTTGACTTGCCCTTTTTTGTAAAATAAAGATCAGATCTCACTTGCCTTTCCTCCCCGTTGGGAGAACAGACACCTGTCCCTTGATTTGTGAAAACAACATGCGTTGTTGGAAGAAGACTAGCCCTAACGACCTAGGGCACTAAGACAGGAACATGTTGTTTCCGGGGTCAGCCGTTGTGGGGGCTGATGGCTCCACGTTTGTGATGACAGCAGGTGACAAAGGTGGGCGGGGCGTGCCGTGAAATCAGCCTCTTTTGAGCAGACTTCTTCTGCCATTGCGATGACTTCTTTTTCCCTCGCCCTCAGCCCAGCGATCCGCCCACGAGCTGCCCATGGTGGAAAGACAGGACATCGACAGCTGCCTGGTCTACGGGGGCCAGCAGATGATCCTCACGGGACAGAACTTCACAGCCGAGTCCAAAGTCGTGTTTACTGAGAAGACCACAGGTCAGGGGGCTTGTTGAGCTCTTTCCTTGTCCTCCAGCACCATATAGAGCTCCCGTCTCTTTCTTCCCAACAGCACTGATTTGGGGAATGGGTCCTGTGGGCAGGGTCTTAGTTTCTGTTCCTCTTACTCCCCACGGGAAGCTTCCCAGGCCTCCAGCCGTGGATGTCAACACAGTTCACCGTGTTGTGATGTGCCACAGTGTTTCAGCTGCTCCCGGGCTCTCTCGGTGGACGATAACCTTATGACTCTTTTTAAATTTTTAAAAAAATGTTTATTGTTTAGAGACAGAGAAATAGAGTGTGAGTCGGGGAGGGGCAGAAAGGGAGACACAGAATCCGAAGCACAGGCTCCAGGCTCTGAGCGGTCAGCAGGGAGCCCGACACGGAGCTTGAACTCACGAACTGTGAGATCATGACCTGAGCCAAGTCAGGTGCTTCACTGGCTGAGCCACCCAGGCGCCCTTCTTTTTTTTTTTTCTTTCTTTTTTTTTTTTTTTAACTATTTTTTCACACAGAGAGGCAAGCCTTCTCAACCTTATGCTATTATCAGAAAAGGAGTCCATTCCACAGGGCGAATAAGTTTGCACGCTGTGGCCCTGGATATCCTGGGTTCAGATGCTGACTTTGCTACCTGTTCTGTGATCTCAGGCAAACGATCTCCCCTTCTAGTGCCTTCATCTTCTTTTATATACAACGATAATAACAAGGGTTCTTATTGCCACAGGGATGTCATGAAGGCTAAAGAGGTTAATACATGTCGAGTAATCATAGTAATCATAACAGCTCTAGGTTTATTGTAAGCTATAAACATAAGCTGCATGTATTTTTTTTATTACAAATAGTGCTGCAATGAATCTTTTAATACTTGTAGGACAGTTAATTGGTCTTTGATACGTGAGTGTTTTGTCTGTCTTTGTGCATGTACGGTTTATTCCTAGAGTGGAATTTTGGATAGTTGTTTTGAGAGCTTTAAATACATATTGCTAAATTAACTTCCAGAAATGTACAAATTGAAACTTCCATCAATACTATGCCAGTAATGGTTTCACCCCATCCCAGAAGTGCCATTTTTAAAATTGTTTGTTTATTCTTGAGAGATAGAGACAGAGCGTGAGCAGGGGAGAGGCAGAGAGAGGGAGACACAGAATCCGAAGCAGGCTCCAGGCTCTGAGCTGTCAGCACAGAGCCTGACGCGGGGCTCGAACCCACAGACTGTGAGATCGTGACCTGAGCTAAAGTTGGACGCCTAATCAACTGAGCCACCCAGGCGCCCCAGGAGTGCTATTTAAAAAAAAAAAAGTTTGAGAGAAAGCAGGGGAGAGAGCATGAGTGGAGGTGGGACAGAGAGAGAGGGAGAGAGAGAATCCCAAGCAGGCTCCACACTGTCAGCACAGAGCCCAGTGTGGGGCTTGAACTCACGAAGCATGAGATCATGACCTGAGCCGAAACCAAGAGTCGGATGCTTAACCGACTGAGCCACCCAGGTGTCCCACCATTTTTTAATTTTTTTTAGTTAAAAAATATTTGCTGAATTGGTACTTCTCTTTACTTCACATTACTTTGCTATGCGAGGTTTAATATTTTTGTTTTTGCTCACGTGTATTCTTTTTTTCCACATATCATCTGTTAATATCTTTTGCCAATGAGGTCATGGTAAAAAGAGAATGATAAATCTCAAGTTACACAATTATTTGAGAGTTATGGATACTAGATCAATTTTTTTCTCTAATGGACACGATTTCACTAAAAGGGGGTGTATTAGTATTTGTTTACCACCCTGAGGATGATACAGAGACCATCGTAGGCAGGGTTGTCCAGTTGTGAGGACTGTGCACTGCACAAGGGCACCTCTCCTCTGGGGGCTGCTCTTCAAATGGGATGCATCATCAATCTGTGTATTACTAATACCACTGCTAGCAGGAGGAAGCAGGGGGTCTTGGGGGAGGGGTGTTTTTTCCCCAGTTCACATAAAGCCTCCTCTTGGGGTGGGCTGGCTCTGTGACCAGGCATGACATAAATAAGCCTACGGCAGTGGGGGGCTGGAAAGGGCTGGATGGGCTTGGAAGTGGTTTAGAGGGTACGTGGTCGGTCATTGTGGGTTCGAGGGGCAGTGGTGGTGCAGTGAGGGATTAGGGACGCAGACATCTCCACGGATGCTTCACCTTCTGTCCTATGTTTGTCCAGGATTTTATTCAACTATCTCCTTTTATCGGGCCTGAGGCTGCTTCCCGCTCTGTGCTATTAGAAGTGACTCAGCAACGAACATCCTTTATATTCCTTTGGTCAGTTAGGCAAGATCTCACGCTCCTAAGCCCAAACCCAGCTCCACCATTTTCTAGCTGTGTGACCTTGGGCAGGTTGCTTATCTTCTCTGGGTAACAGTTTCCTCATCTATACGATATGATGACACTCCTGCCTCGTAGGGTGGTTTAAGGATCAAGGATTTCTACATGGTAAGCACTCATAAAGTGCTCGGCACGTAGTAAGTGCTCAATACACGTTAACGATCACTATTTGTTACTGTTCTTTCCTAGGGTTAAGGCCTCTAGATGTCGTAGTGGATTCATGGAGGTTCGCACGTTTCTCGGCATCTTGGGGGAGGCTTACTTTTCAGATGGTGGAAGGGTGTGATACTGTCTCCTGCAGGAATTTGCTAGGCTTTTGTAAATCGGAGAGCAAACCAGCGTGGCTGGAATGTGTTGCCAAACAGGCAGAGGCCAGCACAAGTTTCCCAGTACCGGGTAGAGACACGGCCTTGGTGTGGTCTGCACGTGGGGGAGCTAAGAGGGAGTCACGGAGAGTTCTTCAGCAGGAGAGTGGCCTGAGATGTACATGACCAAGCACACGTTAGCTGCTGCGGGTTTGACACACCTTCCGTGCGAGCCGACTATCCTGCGGGCCTTCTGCTGACTTTTGCAAGAAGCCTGTGGCCTCACAGCACCTTCCTGGCAGAGGGGAAAATGCTGGTAATCTGCAGATGTCTCGTTCTCCATGCCCAGGTCTGTGTGGGGGTGGCTTGGAGGCCGGGTCCTTCCTGGTCCCTTGCAGAGTTGGGAACCAGTCAGCCTGCGTTGTCCGGGGAGTTCACGCACTTGAGATGCTGCTCAGATGCCCCAGTTAAGTGTTTGTTGAGGGAATGAATCGACGGCATTTATTCTGTAGCTTGCTTTCTCTTGGTTTCAAAAGAAGTTTCACAGTTGACCTCGTGGAGGCAAGAAAACTCGGTCTGTTTCACCTTTGAAAAGTTGTGTATGAATAAGGAGAATAATCAGAGCAGCTTCCTGGGATCTTTGTCCACGACCGTCCACGTACTGTCTCGTCTAAGCCGCTGCCTGTGGGAGGCGCTCCGCTAGGCGTGCAGTGAGGGGACTCCCCCACAGATCGTGCCCGGCATGATCCTGATGTCCAGCTCCCTGGGCCTCCGTTTCCTGCTCTGTAAAATGAGGTACTGATGCTCCCCGCCCCCCGCAGGAGCCCAGTGCGGACACGGTCAGTGCACGCGTAACGTGCACGGAGCGCTTGCCGAACGTTCGCTGTTGTTTTTACGGTCACAATTCTCCTTGCTCAGCCCATAGACAGCATTGACTGGACGGTGAAGAAGCACAGGGCCTGAGGTCAGAAGGCCTGGGTTCGAATCCCTGACCTGCACTGAGTGGCTTCGGCATCCTGGATAAGTCACGTCACCTCTCCGAGCCGGCGTTTAACCCTTCCGTAAAATACGGACGATTTCCTTCTCTAGAGAGAAGAAAAGCTGAAATGAGATAGATGGAGGCACACATTAGGCTCTTGGCATAGCTCGTAGCACATGGTAAATGCTCACTGAATATTAGCTTTTGTTGTTGTCATTATATTTAGGCTGTGGAAAGAACAGAGATGAATAAAATTCTGTCTCATGGAGCCAAGGGGCATTGAAAGACAACAAAAAGTAGTCATAATGAGCTAGATGCCAGGCCTCTGAGCACTTTATATGTAGTAACGAATCTCATTCCTCACGACAGCCCTACCAGATAGCTACCATTGTCCTGATTTTCCTAACGAGGAGCTGAGCCCAGAGAGGTTAAGTGACTCGGGGAAGATCGCACAGCTAGTAACATGGCAGGGGTAGGTTCGACCCCAGGCAGCCTGGCTTAAGAGTCTGCCCCCTTGGCCGTTAGCTCTTCTAGTTTGAAGAAGCTGAGAACAAGGTTAATTTGCCTGAAGACCCTTCAGCTGCCTTGAACCACTGACTGGAACCATTTTGTGGTGAGATAGACCCTCGGATTCTGCAGTGGGTCCCGGGCTCGAAAGAATCCGTGCGGAACGCTTTCACGCCTAGCCTACAGAATCCCGGGTGAAGGCGGCTTCTGGATCAGTGCCAACAGGCCAGCAGGGGTCTCGGGGACGCCCCTGAGCCCCCAGGACGCGGTGGGCCTTCCCTCGTGGGATGTCGGGCTCCTCGGGGCTCTGACAGACAGGGGGCTTGTCGTGCTCTTTTGACCCTAAGTACTCGCCTCCTAGCCCGGGACTGCCTTCTGCAGGGGGACTCCCTGTTGCTCAACTTCGTTTTTCCAAAACTCATCCCGTTCCCATCTCCATGGACAGCTTGGCCGGCAAGGGCGCAGCGGGGCGGGGCGGAGTGGAACAGCTGAAGTTTTCCAAGGAAGGGGAACCCCAGCTGGTTCTCACATTAAGGAAAGGTGACAGCCTCCTGGGCTAATCTTAGCCCCCGCGTTGGGTCATCGGCACCACTAGGTCCAATGTTCTTTTTATAGCTGTCGACTAAAATGGAATTGGCAGCTTCTACTCCAGCGGAATGACAAATTGGAGACTGTCGGAAAAACAGTAGGAGAGGGGCAGCATGGTGTTTCTTAAGTTAGAAAAGCTTGGTGTTTTGGAAAATGGCATCTTATTTATAGCAGCAGTAATAATAATGATTATGATATTATTTTTATTACTGTTTTTCATTATTTTCATGACTTCCAGGAGCCGCTATGACCTGGCCCTCGCCCATCCCTCTGAAT